GACAGAGAGTCAGACTGGTCACAATTTCAACTTGTTCAAAAACAGAAACAGAAAAACATTTAATAAGAAAGGCTTTATTGAGATTTTGGCTGTATTAAGATACTGTATATGTGAGAGAGAAGGAGAGATGCAAACAGAAAAAGGACTGAGACCAGCTGACAGCTTATGGAACAGAGGTTGAACAACAGTTTTGTCCTCAGTTTCACACACTGACCATACATGGTCCATCCATACACTGTTTTGACCTTGTCTTGTCTCGCTCCCATGTCCTATTTGGGCACCGGTTCAGAAAACAAGCCATATAATTGTCCTCCTAAAAGCCAAAATAACGGCAATAAGAGCATTGAAAAACAAAACACAAGAAAATCTATTTACAGATTGGTTATGTATTTAATTCAGTTGAATGGGAAAATGGACACCACTGTATACATGATGACGGTGGCAAACAGTGCTGTCTAACACGTCGCTCCAAAATCACCCACAGGTGTTCAATTGGGGTGAGATCTGGCAACTGCGAAAGCCATAGTATATGATCCACATCATTTTCATACTCATCTAATCATTCACTGACCCCTCGTGACCTATGGACGGGGGCATTATTGTCCTTGACGAGACCACTCCCATCAGGATAGAAATGTTTCATAATATGATAAAGGTGATCAACTTTGTATTGATTTGCAGTGACCCTTCTCTCTAATGGGACAAGTGGACCCAAACCATTCCTGAAAAAAATCAAAATCTTGTTTTTTGAGCTGAATACATTGAGCCTGTAGTGACTAAATTAACCGAAGTGTCCACCGACTTTCTGATATCAGTCTGGAATATTAGGTGCAGGTTTACCTTGGGCGAGCGTGGTTGAGCTTAGCATGCACATTGGAAGTACATTTTGTTAAGCGGTGCCTCTGGACAGTTTTGTGTGACAGTGTGTGTGAGCGTTGCATGTGTCCTGTCTGTGATATTCTTGCTGCTCTCCGGAGTAATAATTGTCAGGAGTATTTCTCCATTATAAAGTGATTTAAATGTTGACTCAATTAACTTCAGGACTGAATTTCTTTAGGGAGACTAGGATGTTTTAAATTAGGCTAGAATTATTAAATATGCATGAAAACATATGGAAACTCATAAAAACACCACATATTATTTATGTCACCTAGCTGAAAACAAAAGAATAGCTGTGATGGCTAGGTCCAAATAAAGTCAATGTTTTCAATAAAGCAAAGTCAAAAACAGTCACGGGCAATCATAATGATGTAAAGAATAATAAACTAAATACAACTGATACTCCAGAATTGCAAAACAACACACAACACAAGCATGAATACATTCACAGCCATGCCTACTGGCATAATAAATGCTTACAAATAAAACAAGATTTTAGTGAGGGCTCTTCCACAGTCATGCAGCCTCAAAAGCTTGAGCTCTCTGTGGAATCACTAAAGAGTTTTAAATGAGCTGACCTAAAAGGTCTGGGCCATCCAGTTCATTTAAAGGCTTCAAAACAAGCAGCAGAAACTGTAAAGAGCCAAACTTGGAGCCAGTCAAAGGAATGAAGACCGTGATTAGGTTATGTCATATCTCTCAGCAGCAAGAGCAGCTCCACTGTACAGTGTTAACCAGGGAATTTCATACAATTGATTATCTGCTAAAATCCAAAAGGTTTAAGGAGACAGAGAGCTGGGTATTTTCCTCATAGCAATTATAAGTTACCAAGCACAATGAAATCAATGGGCTGTGGCTGTGTCACCTCAGGGAGACATATTAAGGATAAATTAGAGCTAGGATTGAATCCTCTGACTGAACAACTGTGGTAGCCCATAAAATATAATAGCGAGATAGATATAATGTAGAGGTGCTCCTAAAAGCTATATTAAGCACAGAAGTCTAATGAGTATGATATATGATCTAATGAGTATAAAAATGTTTTGGCTGCACTTGATTTCAGCCTTTAAGGACCCTTGATAATGAATGAACCTCAGAGGGAAGACAGCTTCAGCCAGACAAGGTCACAGCATCAACTGGCAGGGGGTCAAAGTCATCCACCAGGAGACAGTGGACAGTTGGGGAAGAGTCAAGGAGTCCATTCACATCAAGAACATCCCTCACACAGGGGTTACAGTCTCAATCTCACCCCAATTCAGTGTATGACCACTTGTTACCTTGTGTAGTTCCATTCTCAGGTCACTAAATGACCCCTAAACCAACTCCATTTGACCTTTTTAAGACGCAAGTGGTTGAGAGCTCAGAAAAAGGTAAGTGGGGTTATTTTGTCACACATACTGTTACCGAGGTCAAGAATGAGTTTCAAAGCACAAAATAAATTAGGAAATTAGGGCTAAGACTAATTGTAGGTTCAGTATATCCTTCGAAGTGGCTTTTTTTTGTGGGAATTGACTGTGTTTTCCCAGCAAAATAATATCAACTCTTAATTATAAAAAATGAATAGATAAAAAAATATGCATGGAAATTTGGCAAAATACCTTTTTAAATTAGACTGAATGAAAAATATAATTCAAAATGTCAACCTTGATCCAATTAAGCCATAATAATTATCAAAGCATCTGTAAATGTTCCCCACTTATTCCTCGGAAATGTTTTCAGTGCAGTAAAATTCATCCAAGGCTAAGTATGTTGTATTGTATAGCACATACACACTGCGATATGCAGAGTTCAGAGGTCACTATTCTCACAAGCCACTAAAAAATATGACTTTACATGATATAAATATATGAATGAAGAGATAGTCTTGCCTCACATCCTGTACACACATTCAGACAGCAGCTTGAGATCATCACCTGAAAAACCTTCCACTATCTCCTGCATAATATATACAGTACAGTAATATGCAGTTTATACAGTATGTATGTATATACAGTAAATGTATATATACTATATATATATATATATATATATATATAGATGGGTGACAATTCAGTTCATTGTCATACTCAAACCATTCACTGACTCCTTGCTCTTCTAGAGGCACCCATCTTGTTCGAGCTCAACTGGACCTGGTTAGTATGGAGTAGTCGTGTATTCAGGTCGACCCCAGAGGGTTAACACTAAGCATAATCCACACTAGTTATTAAGGATATCCAAAAATATCATGCAGCTGTCCAGAATATTAAGATTAAAAAAAATCTGTGAAGATGTCAACATGAAATTCAAATGCATTTTTTTCTGTTATTTGACACAACACATTTAAACACCTAAATATTTATGTCAGTATGTAGAAAAGACAAGATGAAGCTCTAACACAATATTTAACATTTTACAATTCCAAATCTGTGATATACACTAATTGTGCCGCATGATTTGCCATTACCCAGGTGGTCCTCTATGGGCATCTGGCAAAAACATGCCTTTTCAAAGAGGATAAAAGAGCCAAATAAAAACCCACAATATGACAATCTGCTCTTGCCTTGTCCCATTTTACTAACCAGTCCTCGTCAACATACTCTTGGCATATCATGCAGGAGGAACAGGATAAAACATACCATTATAATGTCGTCCAATGCAAGAGCCCAGTAAGGCTAAAAGCTAATAGTGTTATTCAGCGTTCATTTATATTGAGTTCAGGGTGATATTTGAGGCTCCACTTTTGTGTGCCTGTGTGAGTGTGCATGTGTGTGTGTGTCTCCTTTCTGTTTTATGAGGTTACATTTGTTTTTGCCCCTCTTCACCAATTCAGTTTGACTGTGTTTGGAATATCCAAGTGTTTTGTTGAGGGTTTTCCTCCTGCTGCATCACAAACAATAATTACATTTTTTGTTAAATTTAAGTTATTATTTAATGTTAATATTTTTAAAATAAATATTTTCTTTATGTATGATAGCCAGTGAATTGGTAGACAACCGAAGGTCCAACATATGGTGCCCCGTGTCTATAGACCCAACATTTATGGTGTCCAGCTCGTGAGGCAGAGCCCAGACCCAACACTGTTATCCCCCAATTTATAGTGATTAATGCACGTTAATATACAATCAATGCTAAAGTCTCCTGTTTGTGCAGGTGGGCACTCATAGTATCCCACAATGCATGATGAAAAGAAGTGTACAACCGATGATCACTAACCAAGCAATATATACCATCATGCATTGAGCTCGCACTAAAAGACCCAAAGAAAATTACCCAAAAGTGTATTTTTCATTTTGCCAATGAGTTCACTATATAGGCCTTTACATAGATCTCCCTGGATAGTGAGTAGGGAGGAGGGAATGAGTGAGTGATTTTGGACACAACCAATGTGTCACAAAGTGAATAGCGCGAGTATGCTAGCAAGCTAGCCCTGAAAATGGATATTGGATGATGTTTTTGTTTTTTTCGTGACCCATCACAAACACTCAGCGCCTTCAGCGTGTGAAGCTTATTTTCCAACCCTGGACATTGTTGTGCTTGTGTTCTTCTGTAGATTATTTTGTACATCTGAATCTGTCTGCTCTCCTGTTTTCAGTCATCATTGTCACTGTCCTTAACGCTGAATTGTAGATGTGACAAGGCGGTGCTGTGTTATGAATGCACAGGCAGTGTGGGTTTTTTTTTCTTTCTGTAGTGTGTTGGTGCTCATTTTTGTTGTGCATTCATGGATATTAGTCCTGGTTTGGTGGCTGGGCTTGATTTCTTCTTGTTCAGCATCCTCTGAGGTTAACTATACACCTTGTTGCTCTTGTAATTATTTAATGTGCCTCCCTCATGTGGAAACCTGAGTGGAAATCTGCCTCTCAGATTTGTTCTGGCGCCGACGCTGCCCTGTATATCGAGATGTTGGGTTTGTTGGCCTTGATTCAGCCTGGACCGGCTTAAATGAAACCAAGGAGAACAGGCAGCCGATCCAATGCAAGCTGGTGATAACAAAGACAAATAGTAAGCCCATGGCACCAGGCTACTGTTCAGTGATCAGTGGGTGTTGGAGATCCTCTCCAGGAGAGAAATGGGGGCTGACAAAAATCCTTTCAATCAACAGTGCAATCAAGTGATAACGCTTAAATCACTTTCTCCGGGATCACTTTATTGTATGATTGGTTCATGCAGTTATATCTACAAGAGTGAGCACAGTCTACAGTCTGGACTATGTTGTCTTGTTCTCCTGAGAGTTGTCTAATACTCCCTTCAAAACACACACACATTGAAATGATGAGCTAAAAAAAATAATTGTAAAGCTAACTTTTCTCAAATGAATTACATGAGTAGATAAAATTATCACAAACAAGACAGAAAGTCAGCGTTTCCAAACTTAATGTTGATAATGGACAACTTTGCAAATCCCCAGATTTCATAAAATGACTTTTTTTTTTTTATGTTAAATCCCAAACAATGTTTTCACAATAATTATGCGTTGCAATTAGCCTATTGTTAAGGAATGGGGAGGGTAGACATCTAAAATGCCTATTTAAAAGGAAATATTCTGATAATGGTTGAAGCATTAATTATTGGTCTGACATGGCACCTGAATAAAAGTGTGAAAGTCAGAACCTGACTTCCACTCTCTTGCCCTTTTTACCTCATTATATAAAGAACATTGTTGAACACTAGCACTGGATGTGAACTGGTGCTGCAGAATCACACAATATGGACATAATTCCAAAGAAAACTACCTTTTAACTTCGAAGTAACTGATTCACAGCTGCAAAGACAGCTGCACAAATGACTCATTAAGTTTTCAAAACAAACACAAAAATCATGATGTATGGTAAATACAGGGAAGCTGCTTTGGAGAAGAGGAGCAGAGGCCATAAGCAAACCATTGCCGACATTTTACTAAAAGACACTTGATGGTGCATTAGCATAACAATAGTACAAAATACAGTCTAAACATAATTGCCAGAGTTAAATCAGCCCCTTGTTGACATAATTTAAAATAAATAAACACTATAAGCTGTATTTGTTCCATGGATGCTGAATTGAATTGTAACGGTATTATTGTTATCTCAAGCACCTGTATGTCAGGATAACATAGAATATGATAGTAAGTACATCTGCTTAAAGACAGAGGCTGTGGTTTTACTTCTGAGAGAATGGCTGTTTATGGCCACAAATCCTGATTACACTGCACTGCAATGTATGAATTTTTAAAGTTGGTGCTGTTGCCTGAAGGCAAACACTAAGGCAAGTGCTACGACAGGTGTTTACAAAAGCTACAGTAATTACAGCAACATTACTTTACTTGAAATCTTATATTGGATATGTAAAAAAAAAAAAAGGCACATGTAAACACAGTCCACAGAGCAGAGTAGAGCCGGATGATGAAAGATGCTTAACTTCCTTCTCTGTTTTTATGTATCTTATTTTGGGCTTTTGAACGTACAGGGCCTGAAAAATTCATTACTACATTTCACCCTTCTCACGGGACTATCAAAACATCAAGCCTATCATCTTCCTCTCTGATTTGATATGAAACACAATATTTCCTCCGTATTATGATACGGTAAACATGTAGATCTACGCAAAATATGTGTGGGCGGCATTTAGTTAGGGCTGCATGGAGATTTGACCCCATAAGTGACCCCGTAAATTGCCAAGCAGTTCATTATGACCCACAGTTACAAATATATCGTTAGGCGACCCTTAGCGGCCACAGTGATAGTGATGTGAGCAAAGGAGGAAGTCAGGTGATGTAGTATAAAGAGTAACAAAGCCTTAGGAGGAGGTTGTGATGGATGAATGGATGGACTTTCATACAGGAGATTGTTTCCTGAATGAAACCAATCAACATTGTTTCTTACTTTTAATGACGGCGATACTTTAATACTTATTTTAACCCAGATCACTTTGGGTTAAAATCTTTAAACACAGCATTGTAGTTTGTGTTCCTAACCCTAGGCAAACTGTGACCGTTACGATACTTTAGCTTAGCTTCTCCAAAATTTCAAGCAGCAGCTCTTTTTTTCTCCTGTACCCTTACAGTGTTTAGCCTTCAAGAGCCAAGCCATTAGAGAGGATACTTCACATTTCATTTAGTATTACAATTCATTCACACAGCAGTCCAGCAGCCTGAACGAAATGCTCATCCCATCAGAATTGAACTGCACTGAATGATGGCAAAACAGCGGCAGTGACGAGGCAAGCTGCCAGGCCCCAGATGGTACATAACCGCATGCATGCCTTAAGCTGGTGATGACATACAGCATAAGAAGAAACCTCCACACCGTGGAGTCCCTGAAATAGCAACCCCATCTGCTTTATCCTCCGTCTCAGTGAGGTCAAGTGGGAAAATATGCATGCATGTAGTTTATCTTTATTATATTGTTTGAAATTAGTTCAGAAACTCACACCCAAATGAGAACCATTACTTTTTTGATTATCAACCAAAATGACCAAATCAGTGACCAAATGGTAGACATGTACAGAGACGGGTTGTTGGCCTTGATTCAGCCTGGACCGGCTTAAATGAAACCAGGGAGAACAGGCAGTTGATTCAGTGCAAGCTAGTGATAACAAAGACAAATAGTAAGCCATGGCGCCAATGGAGTCAGAGACTACCATCCAGTAATCAGTGGGCGTTTGAGAGACTCTCTAGGAGAGACATGGGGACTGACAAAAATCCTTTCAATCAACCGTGCAATCAAGTGATAGCGATTAAATCACTTTCTCTGGGACGTTATCATTGCGTGACTGCTTCATCCATCTTACGCTCATTCGAATGTCTGTTGGTGGTTTTGTGGGCGCACAAATGCGCTTGTGGCTCTGCTCCAAGCCTCTCAAGCAGGTTTTATGGCTCTTTGGGAAACAATGCAAGCCATACAGTATGAAAGCTCCATTTTCTCCTAGCAAACGGGTTTAAACACAACATGATCTCTCTGAGCTCACAAGCACAACCTCAATGCACGGTCTCAATTTTAAATGTTGAAAAGGCAAATGAGATAAGATGCTGCTTAGAGTGCAAATATCTCCAATTGATTTCTGTAGGCATTGATACAAAAAACATTTAGCTTGTTCTTATTATTTGCCACGAGTAAATTTTTAATTATAAAAAAATTATGAAAAAAAAAAGTTGAAAGGATCATTTTGCAAACAAGAATTGTGTAAAAGAAACATCATGGCAGTGAGAAAACATCTCAGCTCACTGATTAAAGAGCATGTTGTTTTTAATCTACAAATGAAGCTAATTGAGTCTAACTTTCTAACTTTGGTATGAAATAAGCACTAAAAGCAGTAAAAATAAAAATCATTTAACGATAAGCAGAGCCATCAGACATCTAAATCAAAACCATTCTAATGATATGCACTTATTTTACAGGTATCTGTTACATTGGGAATATAATAGACTGGGATGGTCAAACTACATTTGTCAAGTACGTTTTGACCTTCAGAAAAGCATTTTGACGCTGCGCCAACAGGAGAGCAGCACCTATCATCAGCGCTGCAATGACCACAGCCTTACTTGTGGACAGGTACGTGCGTCTGGATGATAGTGTTTGCCGTGCAGGACCCTCAACAGTTTGACCCTGCCTCACTGCTTCCTGCTCCTCTTGGGTCAGGGTCATGGGGCGGAGTTCAGCCAGTACTTCAAGAGCCGCTCGTTGACCGGATTGCACTGCACCACTCATGTACCCGCACCACTGTGTGGCCGTCTCCGTGCCTGCCCAATGGATCCTGTAAATGAAGGTAATCAGTGAGTCATGTACCGAACACTGAGCTTGATGTCGCTCTTTGAAAAGACATTTATTTCCTCCTCTGTTGGACTAATTACATCCCTTTCAGCACATTCATACTGTGCCTTAAGCCATTAACATTCGTTTGTATTATCGGTTTTGCAGAGTACATGTGATGCTGCTGACTGATAAGACTTTCTGTCTGATGAACTGATACAGTTTAAGTTTTGCCCTTTAACAAGTCTCTGTTGGCTTCAATGCTCCATGTCTCTGTGCAATGAAATTTGCAAGTACATGCTCAGCAAATTAGGTTACGCCTGTTCAACCCTGTAGGGTTTACTCGCCAGAAAAGCGTGGTAACAATGCTACTCCTCATTCACTTTTTCTCTGCTCCATGCAATGACAACACAGTCAAGGATGCCTTTTAAACCATATAAATTACTACCCATGGTGCCCAGGTTTGTTGTCAACATCAGTCCAAATCATGTACCTTGCAGCTGCCTGTATAACAGACAAGCTCAAGAAAAAAAAAAAGCACTGTACTGTAGTTTCAGTCTAGTCCAGTGAGAAAAAACTATTGGGGTCAACATTTGATCAGTATATGTGGCAGTGGATGCAGTTGCTGCCAATGAAGACAACGGGACCTATTTTAACAGTCCGAAGCGAACGGTCTGAAGTGCATATTGCAAATGCATTTTGGGCGTGTCCATATCAAGTTTGTATTTTAATGGCACAAAAGCAGTCGCTGTGCCAGGCACATGGTTCAAAAAGCAACTTGACACATTGCTATCATAATGGCGCAGTGTTTCATACAAAAGATTCTATTTGTGTGATCAGTTGATTACATATTGGGTAAGGGATAAGGGAAGGCTGGGTGGATCAATGCGTTGCGCACAGCTCTACAAAGAAATAACGGTACAAATCCATATGTTAGACATCTTTTATGTTACATTATGACAAGTGCAAATAAATGTTCAGTTCATTATGAAACTGTGGTGGGAAAAATTTAGTCTAGATGATGAATGGGAAACACAGTGGCACACTGTGCTTGTGTGTAACAGGCAGAGTGTACATGTGTTCTGTGCCCACCTATGTTGATGTATATTACTCTCTTGACAAAGCACCCTTAAAATAACCATGATTAAAAGTACTGTGCCACTGACTTAAGACCAGGTTTTTGTTGGTAAATTGTGTAATCCCTTTCCGCTGCCTCAAGATAGCAATATGCAACAATGCACCTGACCACATCTCATTTTAAGACACGCCCATGGGAACACAGATGGGTGCAAATGTATTTGCTTTTCAAACAACATGGGTGCTAGCCGGGAAAAACTGTGGCAGAATGAAACTGGCAAATATACTTTGTGCTAGGTGTAAGATAGGACCCAATGGCTCTGTAGAACTGAGGATGATGCATTACTGTCCCTTTTCACCAGTGGCATTGCCAAAACATACCAATACCCACCCTCCAATGAAGGCACCCTAGCAGCAAGTTAGCTATCTTATCTCAAAACCCTCAGAAACAAGAGGGACAAGGTAGGAACCCAGTGTGAGCCCAGTTGAGAAACGCAGGATAACATCCAGCCTTTTCCATCCCATGGTCTTGAGAACCCACACTATACAACACTATGTACAAGGTGGTGGAGAGAGGATTAAACTCAATGCTCTCTCTCTACTGCAGGCCACTGCTCTTGGATACAGATGGAGGGGGATGATCCTCTGTGGCCTCATTGATTGGAAAGGTGGGGCTGAGCCAAGCCATAACATGAACAATACACCCTTCACAGAAATTATTTTATGCCATCCATGAAAACAAACACTTGTAATTCTGCATGCCTTAAGGCGGGAACATGCTAATCTGGGCTGCATGTAGGTGAATACGCATGGGGATTGTTCAGACATGTTCACCAGGCTGTTTCCTTTATTCTTTTACAGATTTGGAATGTAACATAATGTGTTTTTTCGCTATGAAGCCACCTCCAAAAAGGGGCTGTGCCAACCAGCCAGCTGGGCTGACACTTGCTGACACTAGCCGCACAACATGTTGTTGAGCTTTGGCAGGTGTGCATGCTGGCTCACCTGTGAGACTCTGCAACCCATGATTACACATACTACCTGTGTTATATGTTATTATGCAGTAGTTGTTAAATGTATTTTACCATGTATCGAACCATAATCCCAGTCTTAGGAAGGGAACCTGCAAGGAGTAAACAACCAAGGTATCTGATTGACACCTTTGACGCTTCTATAACTCTTACTTCTACACGTCTGTGCTGCTAAAACACAGGACACTCCACTAATTTACCATCCAGAGGACAGTGTACATGTATAACACATTACTGCTCATATATTCAGTAGCCCATCATACTTGCATATCAAGCCTATGCACCCCTGTCCGCCAATCCGAGGAAGGGAGAAGAGTTCCCTCGTTGGACTGTATCCTTGATGATTAATTTATGTTGTCTGAACAGCGGAGATAGGGGCCTCAGCAGCGAACACGCTTCCTCTGGACTCCACATAAACACCTCTCTGATGTGGTAAAGCAGGATTTGACAGTGAAATTCACAAAGGGGTTACTATTCAGCAAGGATTCAATCAAGAATCAGACGTCTGAAAAGACAGAGTAATCAGGACTAAACAGAGGATCAGTGTGTGCCAAAGCTTCAATGAGAAATGTTCACAAGTAGAGATGTTGTGATAACAGGGGCTGCTCTGGGCATATGTTAATGGATTGATATTGGCTAAAATACCGCCAATCAAAATCCGATCCTTTCATTACTGTACTCTGCTGTGGTTTGGCCACCTCAGCCTGCTAGTGTTGCAGCTCTGCTCCCTGCAGGCCACTGTCAGTGCTTGTCAAAGAGAGTTTGTGAAGAAAGAACCTCTCACTCTGTAACACCACTGTACATCCTCGAGTGAGCTCGGCGTTTCTTTAGTTCCAAAAAATCCCACAGAGTGAGACGTCTTCTTTCTAGTGGGTCGCATCACGTCTCCGTCGGGGGGTGGCATTCTTCCAACTGAACTTTCATTTATATCATATCAGTAATTTAAGCTTATAAACTTTATATTTTTGAACCGTGACCTTCAGTGTTTGGATCCAGAAGCTCATAAAAGTTTATTTGTGTGAGATTAAGTAGTCTAAGGCTGTGTTATTTCACTGATAAATGCATAGGCTATTCAATCAACATTTAAATAATGTAAATATAAGTTTTGGATAGGAGTTGGTATCAGCAGATACCCAATATTACAGGACTCAGATTGGGATTCGAGCCAAAAAAGAACTTGACTTGGACGCCCCTATTCAGAAGCATTTTTCAGTCTAGCTTTCTACAATAGTCGACTTCAGACTAAAGAGCAGAATATCCAAGAGCTTGAGACTTCAGACTGTAAGGCCTTTTGGCAACATGTCAAAAAGCTTGGTGTTGCTAATGTACACCAGCTGCCTATTCACCGAGAGGTCTTGGGATGTGACTTGTCTCCCCAAAGGAGCTATTTGTAAGTTTTCTCTGCCGTCAAATGTGGTTTCTTGCTGGGAATGAGTGGTGGTAATTGGTGCTTGACAAGAGCTACAAAACTACAAGGTAAGAGGTTATAATGCACCCTCTGAGCAGCGCCGCATCTTCAGGGCAGACTGGAGGCTACAGTGACTCGTTAATGGAAAATAAGCAGTTAGCATGCTCATTTCAGTAGAAGAAAATACGTGATATAGACAAGCGTTAACATTGGTGTTTCTTTCCACGGCTGGAGACAGCTCTTGGTGAGTAAAGGAAAGAAGTTTGATGCTGAACTGACAAAGTTTCTTTTAGACTGGTAAGTAAACAGCTGCTAATGCTAACATTACTTATGTAGCAATAGCAAAACTTACAAATAACTCATTTAAACTGATTAAAACTGCGTTTTGAAATCTTTTAGAAATTAATTTGTTATGTTTTCTGCAATTGCCCAACATAATTGCAAATCTGTACATTGTGACTCAGAAGTGTATAGCATCACAGGTTGCAGTACCACTTACTGCTACTCATTGTTATTACAATTATGTCTGGGGAAGCTCTGTAATGGATTTATGCAGCAGTGCCTCAGCTAGGAGTGCAACCAACCTAGAGATGACTCAGATAAGGATATACAAACGATAATGAAAAAGGAAAGCAATGCATCCACCACGTATGGTAATAAAAAATAAACCAGACAGGAGCGGTGGAGGGAGAAATCAACCATTACAGCAGGATACATGGCAGGTGGTGGTAAACAGCATAATGAGCAGCGGCATTATGATGGAGAGAGTGAGAGCTTGTCAGATTAAAAAGATCGCCGTGTGACCTTGATTCAACATGATTCGTGTCTCGTTTAAATACTATAGGTGTTTATATGATAAGAGTTAACTAGAACTGACAGACAGCACCGATGGCCCTGTTAAACTTGATGCAGTATGTTTAAATGTGCACAAATATGGTGGTCTACCATTTACAGTAAAAGCCTGCAACATGAGTGATTCCAGAAATGAAAAAGTGCGAGATTAATCCGATCTGTAGAACTGGGAATAAAGATAAAAAGAATCCCTCTGAGCTAGTGGGACATCATTTTGACCTCTGCTGTATACAAACTCTTTAGATGTGTTCAATTTAATCACATTTCCCAATGGGCTGAGTCAAATAATATGATAGCAGATGAACAAAATGGATTTAGAAAGAAACTGGTCCACATTGTCACATTAAACACAACAGACTCTGGGAAGAATAAAGCTTTCTTTCTCTTCTGTCATTGACCTTTCTTGAGCTTTCTGTGGGAAAAAAAATTGTGTTGCTTTTTCAAAAAATATAATGAAATGCCTTATGTCTATATATGGAAATAGGAAATGTTATATGTCATATCTGACAATCAGCGCTGAAAGAAGAAAGGTGTGTATATTTTTCTCCTCATGATGACCCAGTTGATATATAACACAATCATCTCTGCTCTGAGTATCTTCCTCTCAACTGTGCTGACAAAGTGTCTGTGTGGTGGATAGTGTTGCCAACTTTTGTGGACAGATATTTGGAGCTGCTCGGTGTGACTGTATGAATTCTTCTGACACTTCCTCACATCATAATCTTTGTGTATTTTGGAAGGCTGTATAATTCCCTTGGGTTGTGAGTTGAGGTATTATGTTTTCCCTTATAATTGTAAGAAATCAGTAAACCCTTTCTGTTTGTGTGCACCGGTGGGATCTCTTGTTCAATTCAAGTTGATGTTTTTCATAGTCAAAAACACTTTGTTTCCACCTGTCCGCTGGCTGGATAGTGTTGTTTTGTTACATACTGGGTGAAGTCAGGGTCCTTATCCCCTGTGTTGGAGGATTCAGCCAGAGTGAGTTATAATAGAGGAGATTTTTCTTTTATCTGCTTGCCCCCTTGGTACCTGAAGCATCTTACCATTTGCTTTCTTGCTTACGTTTCCATCACTTTGTGATGCCTTTGGTTGAGGAAAGTGAGGAGGCAGATTTTTTTTTTTCTTTTGGTTCATCCTTATATAAACAGATGCTTTGCTTTTGGCTTTGTGTGGGCATATCACAATATGTTGGCAGGACGGGATCCTCCTAAGGCTCGTTCATACAAAATTGTACAGGCAGTGTTCTCAGCACTGAGTGTTTTTCAGTGGAGAAGGTTTGTGCAGCAGTTCTGTGGCTAAAGCCTGCTTGTCATGTGTGACCTGTTAGATGTATTTAGGTGTACTGTGGGGAGCTTTGGGACAAAAGGCTCTGTGCTCAAACTTCGTGAACTTTAAAGGCTTACTTGACAAACCTGACCAAGAAGCTTAAACAGAGAGAAAAAATCTAATCTAAAAACAAAGTTTGTATTGGTTGTTTTTCATTAAGACTACATTTAAAATAATTGATATGAAGATGTATGAGCGTTGATCGTAGCTGAGTAAAGCTCATGTTTTGTTGAAGCACATATTTTGTAGCCCGTGGAGCATTATGCTGTGACCTTCTGCTTATCAGGAACGACAGGTGTTTGTAGTGAACATTTCTTGCTGAGCGCTCACTCTCAGGTTTGTGTTGTACATATTAGGAGTGTAAACATCAGGTATTACCCCATAAGAAGCAGAAGCCAGTTTAAAAAACAATGATATCAACATATTACAACCTGAAGAGTCATTCTGGTGTTTCAGGGTGAGGAGCGGCCGTGTTACTGCAGCCCTTAAAAAGATAGAACAGAAAGGGACTGATGGGCTCATCCTGACATGGCTGAATGGATGGAAACTTCACTGCAGGGATGCACAAAGATGAACCTAAGCGTGCACAGCTAAGATGGAGAGCTCCACTTGTTATTATTATATATAGTTATCTTTCTCATTTATGTAAATAAGTATGGTATAAACCTATGATATTAGAACAAATTACAAAATATCAATTCTAGTGCTTTTAAATCTATCACAGTTCTAAAAGATTTCAAATGTATTCTGTCTCACTGTGTGTCATTGGCTGAATGAACTAATCCCTCTCAGTTGGCTGTAATAATCCAAACAATGTGAGAAGCAGCACAAACAACCTTTTTTTTTTTCTTTTTTTCTTTTTTTTTTGAAAATTTTCAGCATCCTACTAAGCAACTCTTACCACTGCAGTTTTTATTCTACCTGCAGCTGAAGCTGTTAACTTAGTAAAGCATGAACCCATTGGGGTCAATTTATTCATAGTTCTTGGCAGCATCTCTTTCTTCTTACTCACTTTCTTCTCTACTCTCTCTCACCAACCTAGAATTGAGTAGGGAGGACCTTTCTATAGGTATCTCACACACTGACCACTCAGGCATAGTATCCACCTAGGATAATTACTGTAATTATATAAACCACACTGTGGTCAGTATGAGATTCATACTATCCCAAATGAAATCCCATAATCCACCAGACACTGCCTGAATCCGTTGTGCTGTTAAATACAGAATGTATGAAGCAGCAGCTGCATTTTTGTCGACCAGGCATGGGCTTGGTTTCATTACATGTGCTGGATTAGTGTCAAGGTCACAGCATGTCCTTGAGGATCCATTTCCTATATGGGCTAGGAATATGGATAAGGGCTACCGCCCCACGCTGCTGTTCGAGCCATGTTATGTAATGAGCTTCCGCTGCTCCCCATGGACTTAATGTCATTATGGAGATGAATTACCTGGATCCCCCTCCCCACCTTTCGCTTTCATTCGTCCGGCTTTCTGCATCTCTGAACAGGCCATTAGGAATGGATTATAGGACGTTTTCTTAGGAGAACACCACTTCTGAAGACCTCTTGCCATTTCGTTAGAACTGGACTAATGTGTGTCAGTGAAGGCATAATCACTCCCACAACTCACGTCAATGATCTGTAAGCAACTGGGTGCTAGTGAGTAATACCTGGTCGGCAGGGTGAACTGCAGACGTTGTTTTTGTGGTATAAAAATAGCACAAACATCCAGCAGCCACTGTTCATATCTTTCAAACAATCTAGTGTAAAATGACACAATTTGCTAAAGTATAAAATCTAAATTTAGCTCTTGAAGAAAAAAAATTGTCATGCAGGTTGATGTCTTCTACATCCCTTGAAGCATTTGCTTTGGTGAGGACACAGAGGAAGGTGACTATAGGGAGAAAGAGAGGTGAGATGCTGTGGTGTATTTGTCATCAGTGGTGTGATTACCTGCCACAGGGCTTCCTCAGGCTAGGGTGGTAATATGTTAGCAGACCTGGTGCCATGACATTAACAGGGCAGCCCCCGCTGTAGTCCTCCTTAGCCCAGTCCTGTAAAGCAGAAAAGTTACCCTTGTATTATTTCATGGCACACAAGCATGGCTTTGTTTCAACAAAATGACACTTTCCAACTCTAATCTTGTCTAGTTTTATTTAATAGCACAACTCAACAAAACAACATAAACCACGGACCAGAGGTTTTCATTTAAAGTCTGACACTGTGCTCCCCTCAGACAAAATTGAGACAATTGCAACCCCTCAACAAACCCTGTGTAGTATGCCAAAATAGCTATTACCAATTCCTGTTTGTAATGTACCCATGGGTGTACAGACAACTATCACTGGATTACTTTGATACTGAAGAAAAGTTAAAAATGTGATGATTCTCAGCCAAGTTCTAGAGTTTTAATTGTAAGAGCGTCTTTTTTTCTGTGAATTGTAAGTGAATTTATGGACTTTTATTCATGATAGACATTGGAGATAACGATATCCTCCAGAAGTCACACTAAATCTGAAAATATGTGTGTTACTCCAAGAAGGGGTATGAATTTCAACACAAATTGCTTGGAAAGAGTTGTAAAGCACCTTGATAACCAAGAAACCAAATCAAGAAACTCCATTGGGCTACCGTAAAATCAGGCCAAATATCTCTCAACACTGTGCCATCAATTTATCAGCTTTTTGTCTTTTCATTAAGCTCTGAGTTGTTGTTATTGTATTCTATAAAATGGTGCTTTCCTTGAGGCTGTTTGTCAAGAAAATAATTTAAAATCATGATGCCCCCCTTAACATCCCCGCCTCAACTTTTCTCAGGGCACTTTTTCTTTCCATTTTGCCTTTCAACAGCGAAGAACAGACTAAAATCATATATTTGCATGACAAATATGCTATTTCACAGTCTACCAATGTGTGCTCATCATGGAATGGACCTAAGTACCTATTTGGTATGCATGTGGCACATCGTGATATAGAAAAGTAGTCTAGCTACTGAATGGAACACATTGTTTCCATGTAGTGTGGCCGTGGCTCATGTCTGTCCATGATGACACTTAAACTCCCTGTGGAAACACCTTCGGAAGGGTTGCCCTGCCGACTCCCTAATCCCATGGATTTATTATAATAACATGTATTTCATTTGTTTGTATGCTTTGATATGAAATAATTTCAGAAAATAGCCTCTATTTTTGGAAAGCCACTGCTAGGGCACAGTAGCCGGGTTTCCATTGCAGTTTTATGCAACACAGAAGCGATTTTTTTAGAAAAGTTGACAAAACACAATTGAGCTTGGTCTGCGCTTCCATTGAGTGACGCTATGTGTCTTGGGCGATATCATTCCAAATAAACGTGACGACGGGTTTCCAGCGGTCTGCCTCTCGGTGGCAACTGACTCCCTGGGGCAGGATACGGCAGGGGCCATGACTTGAACCAAAAAAAGTGTTTGCATTTCAATTTTGCGAAATATTGCTTTGTTGAATAGTCTGGAAAACCACCTCATGTGAGCGAATAATTTTTTCTATGACATTTGGGTTTTTTGGAAATTCACGTGTTTCCATTATTCGTTTTTAAGTTTGCAATTTCAAATTGTGCATTAAGCAGGTTAATGGAAGTGCACCTAGCAAGGGAAAACATCTTTTTTGTAGTTTATCTCTATGGATTGCCTCCTCTCCTTGAAATTGTTTCCTGTCACAAAGTAATTTCAAAATCAGAACACTTTGTGATCCCATGCGGGCTTCCCACCCTGCTAGTTCCACAGTTTATTGTTGGTGTTATTTCAGGAGTACTCAGTTGTAGTAATAGTCATATCTTTCTCCTCCTGTGAAGTCTTAACCATTGTGGTCCACATTAACACATTTTATGATTCTGGATTAACAATTGCATTGAATTGCTCTAATACAAAATTAAGGATCATAAAAATGTGATTATGTTATCATATATTTTGCTGTACCCGTGTTAAGCCCCCTGTTGTCATGCTGGATTAATAAAACTGTGTTAACAAGCTAAGGCAATTGTAACCACCGTTTTACCAAGTGGGTTGCTCAGTATGCAGTGAGCTACTCTATTTCCTTTGAAAAAAATCAGTTTGTTCGCAGGAGTGCCAACTTCTGCCACATAAAATTGCTTTCCTCTGCAATCCAGGGTAAAAATGAAACTACAGATTTTGGCATTACAAAATTCTGCTTCAGACCAAAATATTATTGTTTCATTACAAAAATCTGCCACTGAAGTACTTACTTTCTCCTCATAGTGAATGAAAGATGCAGCCTCAGATCCGAGGTATTTTACTAGACTGGAAATCACAGCTTTTCTTCTTTCTCCAGCCTGCAAACAGAAAGAAATACCTCTTCTGTCGTGATCCTTCTCATACACTCACCTATCACTCACAAATATAACAGCGGGCAGCTGAAATATGAAGACTAGAAACCAATCCAAGTTGGACACAGGAAGCAGCAGTCAATTTGAATAACTCAAGCATAGTCAGCACATGCTCCTGGTTGTATTATCACACACGGTGAGTTATACACAGAGCAGCTGAGGCCTGAGGACCAAAAGGACAGATCACCATAAAGCGTGCTGACAGATCCTCATCTGCATGTCACTTTACCTTTGCTCCCAGCACCACCCTTGTGCAATAATTTGGAGCTGATACTGATAATTTCTTCATATACTCCTATAATGGAGAACAGAAAGGGAACAGCAGCATAGTGACAAATTGCTTTCGATGAAGAACTAAAAAAAAAAAACATAACTGAATATTTTGAGTCCACTCCATACACTGTATGAGAGGCAAATACAAAAATAAATAAATAAAAACAATTTAGATAATATTACTGACTAAATCAAATTTAAACAGCAAAATGAGTGTGTAGTTGTAACCTTGATGGCCACTTGCCTCACAGGCACCAACACTGTTTTCCTCTGTTGAGCAGTGGAGTAGCAAGGGGAGGTTAATTATTTAGCACCCTGTGCAGCAAGGAGACAGCTAGTCTCGAGTTTTGTAGCAAGCCAGGATAATGACTGAGATGCCAAAACAATGCTAGACATGAGGACAGATTTATTTATTTCTTTTCAGGTAAAGGGAAAACACTGGGACTAAATGAAAATGTCAACCCAGTAGGAGACAGCGAGGAAAAGAGAGACAGGGAAGATGTAGGCTGAGTGTACTGTATGCAAAGTGTGGTTATTGGAAAAACATATGAAATGTAGCCATATCAATCAGCAACATAGGCGTAAAGGGAGATAAAGCAGCATGAATCTATTACCAAAACTGCTGCAGAAAATGATTCACAAGAGAAATGAACATATAAAGACCTGTATTGATATTAGCTGTGTCTCAATACTACATACTTTGAAGGCTGCATTTAAAACCAGTTGCATCACAGCAGCATGACGAGGCTGTCCCACTTTGAAGGCTCCATCAAATGTGAATATACGTCCTTCATTTCCTAGACAGTGAACGATTCAACAAGTGCATCTTTCACATTCAACAGGTGCATCTTTCACGGCCAAACCAATGCCGAGATTCATTGCATACTAGTGCTGAATCACTTTTCAAAAAGAGAATAAGGCAGACTCTGCAGATAAAACAGCGGCCTAGGATAAATAGGAAATCTTCCGTGGACCAGACCGTCTCTTTTCAGCTCGGTCGTGGACCGCGTTGATTCTACAATAATCAGGTTCAATATTTTTAAAGCCACTTCTGATGGGATTCCTTGTTTACCAAGTGGATAACCACTAACCATCGAGTGGTTCCTTCAAGTTCAATTTAGAGATAGACAAAGCATAACTCAATGCCTGGTGCACATAGTAATTGAAAAAAACCATTATGTCCTATATTTACCTTAGTAACAGATACTGAAAGCTGGAGAGAGCATCCCACTGCTCTCAGTCTATACGCTGTGCTGTTTCAGAGCTCAGATGGTGCACATTGTCTCATGCAGTGTTCATAATGTTGCCCCTGGGCATTTTCTTTTACACAGTAACATAATTTTGACTGATACACATTATGTTGTCTCTGCATGTAAAATTACCCAGGCTTGACCTATAGTATAAGTTTAACTATACAGTATCTGACTTTTTTTCCATGGTAGGAGGTACCTTTTAACATACAACTACATTTAAATTTAAACGCATCTCCAAGACTCCAGAGTTTAGCTGTTGAAAACCGTGACATCTCATTAGGCAACTTGCAAGTTTAGGAGCAGCCCTTGATAACTGAGTATTTAATGCTTGCCATTAATTTGACTTTATCTTGCAAACCACAGTTTGTATCCACTATCAATTTAAATATAATTACAACACATCATCGTGATGGGAAAGAAAAACACATACTTTGCTTGTTTACTATTTGTATGACTGGTAAATTACATTAAATCATAATAAATGATAATGAAAAGTCAAACACAAAGGTATATTACAGAGAACAATAACGTGTTTGAATTATAGATGCATATCAAAAAATTGCTAATTGTATCTGTCTGCACATCAGGGGTGGAAGGGGAGTGTTTTTGAAGAATCAGTAATTTCCCCTTTAAGTATTTTTAATCTCAAGTATTTTTTTGCTTTGCTACATTTAAAGTCACAAAAGTCATGATGAAGACATGATGAAGTTATGATTGAATGAAAAGAGTCAAATCAGCAGCTGCAGCAGAGAAGATGCTGGAGAACACGGCAAGTATGCCAAATCAAACGCTCCTGCCATGCTGCTATAAGGTTAAGATGTTAATTCATACTGTATATCTGAGCTAATTTACTAAAAATATATTTCCACTGTTTATACTATTTACACTTTTAAGTTCACACAATGAACAATTTACATGTATCTGTTTACACAATTATTATTTACATGTGCTCTTTAATAACAGTCATAATAACCTCCTGAATCCATCTCTGTAGTTTTCCTCTTATTTATCTCAGTCTAAGTCCTAGCCTTCTAGCCTCCTCTGGTTAGTTCAGCCACATGTGACTTTAGAGACAGGAAGTGGAGAAAAAGTAAACATAATGCTTACAAAGTCCCTCCGTCTCTATCCAGCTGTTGGCTTTTGCAAAGAGGGCACATGCTGGGTCCAGGCTAAATGCTAAATGCTAAAATACTGATGATGGTTCCCACAGCTGTGACTTTTATGTTCACTTCTACGGTCAGTGAGGCGTGCACCACCTTTCTGCTGTTTCTGATAATCCCTGTTGTGACTGCAGAGCTCATTCAGCTCATGGAAGAGCGCAGTGAAACCAGAGAGGCTGAGTGAACTGATTACAACAAACTGTAGTGTAGCTCTTTGTCTGTGTTTGTCGGCTGCAGCTGCTGCGGAGTTCATGTTGTTTATACATCTCCACATTTTCTGCTGTTTTATTCTGCTGTTAATTATAAGAAGTGGCAGCTGTTTGATTTATGTAGCTTAATATTGCTATATAAAGTCTATGGATACCCGCTGTGGCGTCCTGGTGTTTCTATTACTTTGTCCCATTCATATTAATGAAGGTATACTAAATAACAGAAACACCTCTCTGTACAATACAATACAGCTCAACAGCTCCGCACACTACATCCTCCAAAATGTTACATTTGCATCACGACCCTCTCCACCTGTGTAGCTGTTCCTTCTTGTGTGTGGCTGCTTCCTTTGCAGGTACTAGAGGTGGGTGTGGCAAGGGGCTGACAGTGCCTGGGCTCTTCAGCAGACCTAGAACACCTGGGCTCTGTGTGCTAGAGCTTTTAAAACCACATTGGAGCTCAGTTCTGGTTCTCTCTTCTCCCTGAGGCACCCATTTGGTTTGGTTGGCATTTAGTTTGTGTAGTTTCTGTTGCTGCACCATACAACACTGCATTCATTGCATACTTCTTTACTCATGCACCCACTTACACTGCTGATCTTACAGATTACACATGCCATTGTTAGTTTAAGTTCTTCTCCTAGATTTATTGTCTGTTTTTTTTAAATAAAGCGTTTGTTAATTGGCTTGTCTGTGGGCATCTCCCTCTTTTGTCATGGCCATGCGGCTCGGTTTGTGACAAAAAAGAACAGAACATTACAATCTTCATAAAGATGGATTTATTGCAGCACTGTTGTGTAATTGTAAACTGAGTGTATGTAATTATCAGTTGTATGCACAGGCTGCAAAGTGCCTGACATGAATATATTGGTTGCTCTCGGTGCTGTTCTCACCTGGGAGTTGAATATATGCATTTCAAACCATTCATATACGCCTACATATATGCCTGGTAGCCTAAAGATGTTTTTTAATATAAGTTTCATTATATCACCATCATCATATAACATTTTTACACCTTCCACCCTTCCCCCTTTTAAAAATATAACATTTACACAACATTAACTGACTTACTTTGTAGTTTGAATGCATTTCTACACAAATAATTTTACTTCTACTAGAGTAAAATTTATTTTGAGTAACAGTACTTTTACTTGATTACAATTTATCAGTGCTCTTTCCACCCCTGCTCCACATTGATAACCCATTACCTCTTTGGACGTCCACTGAGAAGCCTGCTGGCCGGCGATGAAGCCCACCAAAGCAGCATTACCATTGGGGCTGGTGGCGTCAAAGGTCACACAGAATGGGCTGCCACTGGAGGATCCTGACACTATTTCCCCAGAGAAGCCCTTCTCCTTCCAAAAAGCCTGTGGAGAAAAAGAAGCAATCCACAACTTCATCATACATATGTCAGTAATGACAACACAAAACTCAAGAAGGTGAAATTGAAACAAATTTTGAGAAATGACTTGAATTCATCCAAAACATTTGGAAAAGACTGGATTTCATTTGTAGAAGAAGTGAAAATAGTTAATAGAAATAAATTAAAATATTGGAAACTCACAAGTGGTTATAAAACACCCTCTAAGCAGGCCGCTAGAGTTAGATGGTTAGCATGCTAACATCAATAGAAGAAAACACATGATAAAGAAGAGTTAACATTGGCATTGCTGTCCACCTCTGGAGACAGCTCTTGGTGAGTAAACGAATGAAGTTTGATGCTGAACTCGCAACATTACTTCTAGACTGGTAAGTAAACACTTCTTAATGCTAACACTGGCTATGGATAGCAAAACTTACAAATAGCTCTGTTAACATTAGCCCAAAGAAGGTAGCCTACTGGTCATATCAGACCAAGTAAGGCAGTAGCAGCAAAATGAAGAGTTCAATGCTGGACTCACAACGTTTTTCTAGACTGGTAAATAAACAGCAGTTACAGCTAACGTTGGCTATGTAGCAAAGCAAAACTCAAAAATAGCTAATCTACAGTAGAAACAGACATGGACTAAAGTAAAATGAGCTGAAGCAAAAATAATGGTTGTCACTGGCAAAATGTGGCACTAAAATCCATTGATACGTCAAGATAGAGATCAAGAGATGTCCTGCTAAATATCAAATACAAATATTTAGCAAACAGCCCTGACCTTTTGTGCATGAAAGCATGACATTTTTGATGTATGTGTGTTGGAAGCAGAGGCTTGTTCTTGATCTTGCTGCCTTTTAAAATCTGTGCTTCTGCCAGGAGCCACTGAACTGCCCTTGAAAGCGGAATAGAATCTTATTGACACTGTCACCCACATGGATCATTTAATTGTGTCAACATTGTATAGCTATCTAGATACTATGCAGTATAAGAAACCCTTAGTGCGAAACCTACAGTATATACTGCTACAATGTTAAAAGTAAGTTGAGGGTGAAGGCAATTTTTTGGCTTACTTTCTTTCCACTATCCTTGATCAAGTCAGTGAATTCTTATCAGCTCAGTGGTCATCACTCTTAAAACACAAAACCTCCTGGAAAACAGGCAGACAAATTTTTTTCTCAAAGGATCAACAATATCATTAGTAATTTGAGATTAAATTCAATACACGAGCAACTCCGATACAATGTATAATACAAAAAGTCTATTTACTAAATTCCTGTACAAGTTTCCCCTAAAGTGCAGCAAACACAGGCGGGATATTATGTGTGCTGAAACACCTGTTCCAGTGTTTTCTATTCAGGGCCTCAGTGTCAGCATATGCCACCATCCTATTTCTCATTGACGTGCGTCACTGCTCCAGAAAATAAGTTTTTCTTTTGCCAGATCAGTAACCCAGCTACTGTACCTCGACTTTTTACTTTTATCTCCGTGGCACGCTTTGTGTGTGTGCTATAGGCATCAAATGACACAACACAACGCTATGTGCAGCAGCTGGTGTGTGTTACACTTCAGCAGCATCAAGACAATTTGTAATTTAGACATTTCAAACTCTCATTATATACAGTAATTGGATATTAGATAGGTATTAACTTTGTCTGCTTAACTAAATATAGCATAGGTAGGATCACTCACCGTCATAAACTGAATTGAGGTGCATGTGTTTGAGAAGCATGTTCAGGTTATGAATGACTAATCTGCAAACTGAATGCTGTGCAGTTGATTTGCTCTGATTATTGGTATGCAGTAACTGCATGTGAGATGCAATGGCAGAAGACAAAAGCATTTATGTAGGACAGTTGTAATGTATATTGGTTGTTTTTTCTATGTAAGAAGCATCCATTCATAAAATATGCAGTGTCGTATGTACTACCATATAAAAAAGAGAGTATAAACATTTATAGTGGAGTACAAAAGCTTGTATGGGACCTATATTAAAGGGGCCAAATGTACAGTATGTACAATGATGCAGACAAACATTGCATTTTCATATGAAAAGTATAAATTTTTTATATATATTTTACAACATAGTTGATTTGAAAGCATTTCATATGCGCCAAATTTTTAATTTCAAAATCTAATGTCAAGACCATTCAATGCTTCATAAGATGGCACGAGAGAAGTAACACAAATGTCTCATAAATAATAAGCGCTTGACTCTCTTGCATGCGCTAAGTGTAGCCTGCTGGCAATCTTGCAGCCTCATGTAATAATAAGTGACTTTAATGTACCTGCAACAAAGCCTGTTGGCCAGCACAGGCAGATTTGAGTGAGCATCAAATGACAGTTCACTTTGACATCTTTTATTTATGCATATATTCATTTTATGACTTGCAGCAGTGGGTAAAGGAATATCAGCAATCTGCAAACTATTGTGTCTGTGTGCATATGCTTATGAAGCTTTCTCATTTGCATATGCATGTGCATATGCTCGCCTAATGCATATTTATTTGAATGTGTGTTCGTTTATCCATCCATACAGATTTACGCTGTATCTGCATAACACTAAGAGCATGCTAATTGTAAGTCTAAAACCCTAATTGTTCCATATTTATTTATGCGTGTGGTTTTCATATCTTGTTCTGCTCATTTTTATTTATCTAGAATAAATGCTGACTTGATTTGATAGATGATCACAGAAGAATTAATTCAATATTCCAGTTGTCTTGAATTATCTTGCCCACTTATTTGTTTGAAGAAATGTTGCTGTGACTGTAAAAGACAACTTAATTTATTTACATTAAACTGTGCTTGCACTCCCTTGGAGTATTTCTTTAAGAATAATGAAAGCACAATATTTTTCTATTATAATCTATAACTACCCTGAAAATAATAATAGATAGTTTGAAGTGGCATACACACAAGATTCAGGAGTCTTAACTATGGTGACAGAAAATTCTTTTGTTGCTTTCAAATGCTTTCTCCCAATGCCAGACCCACCTTCTTTTTGCACAACCCAGTACTGCTTTACCACCAAAGGGCATTGTCAGGGAGGTCCTTTTGAGTGTGAAGTATGATGGCTTTGCCTCATTCAATCATAGACCTCAGGAGTGAGTCTGAGGTGGAGAGGCAGCTCCTGGCTATACAGATGCACAGCATGCTCGATATGTTTGTAGTTCTGCAAAGAAATACCAATGGTGCTCTTTTCTCCTTCTTGGTCATAATTACAACATGGTTGAACCATGCTCAGGTGGTATGCATGGATTTTTTTTTTTTTTACTTCAAGGCACGTCACCTGTCACTTGGGTTTGCCTACACAACCAGGCTACCTGGGGCTTCAGGATTTCCTGATGTTCTTTCTTATACATCCGGACTTCACATAAGCTCCATATAATGTGGAAATGATTGTGCTGTGGCCCTGGCAAAATCTCCCAACATCAGGGAGGGTTGTCTCAGGTAAGTGAAGACACAAATGTGAGGCCCAGCCTGAGGCTACCCCAAGAACTTAGGTCCTGAGAGGGACAAGATGGTACCTCAAGGATTGTACCCCACTGTGGAGCAGCTAATCCAAAGCATGAGTGTGGATTCAACTATTTATGCTGAAAATGCAAAATGCTTGGCCTTGTACAAGTGATGTGACAAAAGCGTTAGAGCGAACTGCTCAGTCAGCTCAGTCTCTCTCTTTCTTTTTCTTTTTTTTTTTACATATTCTAGAGAGATGTCTGCTGCCATCTGCTATGAAAGTGTCTCAGTGATTTCCTCTGGTCATGGGTTTTAGCAAGAGGCTGATTTTTATCCACTCTCCTGTGCAATGTTTCTGAGAGGAAGTAAGATTGCAGTGTCTGGTACTAAACCCATTCTTCTTCTCCCTTCAGTTGGGGTTGCTGGTGGCTCTTTATGTCCTTCTTAAATGAGCTGTTTGTATGTGCTGTGTGGTTATTCCAACCACTCTCACAAGAGAACCAACACAATAAATAAACAAGGGAGAGCAATTAAACAGGGTCAGTAATGTAACCCCGCCAATGTGCAGATTCTGACTTGTCTGGGATAGAGACTGTATCTCAGCTACTTTTTCAGTTATTGGGTGTTTTGCCTTGTATGCATCTTAAAGCCCAATTATAGGATATGGTCTGTACTAGTCATGGCTGAAATTCATTTTTTTGCCAACCACAGTAGCACATTGCTCAGCTTCTGTGCCCTCAAATCACCCGAACTATCACTTTAAGTCAAATTAGGTCAAAACACACAAACATTCAGTGTGACTTACACCTCCTCAAGGATATCATCATATCAGATGTCGATTGCAAATAAATGTCCATAAATCCACTAAGAAATCATGAAAAATTATGTTTTATAGCTGTCTCTACATCCATGGGCACATAAACAGGAACTTTGAATAGTTAATTCAGAATACGTTTAATGGTGCCATTTTGCAAAAATGTTAAAGAAAAAAAAAAAAGTAGGCTAAAAACACAGAATACCAGAATGTGAATCCAAGTGCCTACTTGTAGCACACAGCACAACAGCACATTCGTTGAACTTCTGCTCTCCTGATGGATTTCTATCGTCATATTGGCTCCCAAATTGAGCCACATGTTGATTTCGGCATGTCTCCATCTATCAGATTAGCAAGCATATTTTTGTTTTACTCCATTTTCATATGAAAGTCAAATTTGTCCCACATCCACTTTACGATACAAGGATGTCACCCCAGATAGGCTTTGAATTACAGGAAGCCCAACAGATTCACAGAAAAAACATAGGTAATTGCATCTGTTGTGAAAAATTACCCACATACTGTATGTGGTTTGCATGGGATTGAAATCACTGACCAGCACAGTTAAAATAAGCTTTAGTCTCAAAGCTTTTCCAAAGAAAAGAGATGGGAAAAAAATTTACATTTCTCTCTAAACACAACTGAAGTAAACCTGGACTTCACTGTTTCAGTACTTTTAGCTAAGGATGTCTCAGGATAAGAGATCCCGAATGAATAGACAGGTATTTTTAATACATTATTATTCAAATTAGCACGTCACAACAAATCAACATTATTCACTGAAAAACGCAATATGCAGTCCCAATATGAAAAAGGCATTTAGGCTCAATGAACCACAATAACTACAATCAGATGTTTCCTGTAGAAATTGATCAGTCTGTTACGACACTGTGGAGGCATTCGTCCCACTCTTTCATGCAGAACTGATTTCACTCAATGAAGGATTTTCAAGCATGAACAGCTTTTCTTGGGTCCTGAAAGTGCATCTCAAGGGAACTTAACCCTGATAAGAGGCCTGAAGATCAGCTGACTTTGAACTGCTCAATAACATTTTGACAAGTTGCTTTTGACTATTTCCAATGCATTTCTTCACCCAGTATACTGAAGCTTTAAATTGATGGCAATGGTCAAAGTTTAAGTATTCCTGAGGAAGGACTGTCTGATTGTTAATCTGATTGTTATTCAAAGATATTGCCCAAAATATCTTTATAATGGGTGCATTCCATTTACATGAGCTCTAATAGTTCCAGTATGGTACTGCACAGTGGCTCCCTGTCATGGTGCACTGGGGCACTTGATGGAGCAGAACCGTCCTTCACGAAATTAGGTTTCGGTTTTGCTTTTTCTGCAATGCCAAGTCAAAATGTCTGTATAGTTGCCATTGATATGGCTAGTGTAGAACAAAATTCACATAAAATTGTGTTTAACATCAAGCCTAAAGAGCCTAACTTGTTCATCAATATCAATATTCATTTGTGCTATATGTATCAAATTGGTGTTTGACCTATTGATGATTTGATGAGTGATCTTCAAAACTGGTGAGTTTTACAGATTCTCTGGAGGTCCACAGTCAAGTGCACCTGAGACTCCCTTCAGACTTAATAAATGATGGATTTAGACTGTCACTCCAGAGTACAGGAGTGTGTATAAAGTCTGAGTCTGCAAGTTTGGGGAAGTCCAGATATTTGGATTCAGCCTGAGTCAATGTCGGACACTTATCAATCCTTGTAATTAGTGTCATCACTGACAGTGCTAATGTTGTGCATCTGTAATTTTTGACATTTTCAAAATGTGACACAATCTATTGTGGGATTGTGAGCAACCATGGGCACTACTTTTTCTGTTCCATTGTGGAAAGTTTTGAGAACTCTATATCTTGCATGTATTTTACACTCAAACACTTAAAAAAAATGACGGAGGCAAAAATTATGGAAAGCAAAGCTATTATTTGCTATATATCTGTATCTGTTTATGTCACAAAAATATCTGTATTTGGATTATATTGAGCCATGATTTTAAAAACTGGGAGTTGCATCCATATTGGGAGGAGGTTCAGATTAATGTAAAATGGCAGCGCCCGTATGTGGGATATTTTGGCTTAATTTTGGTACAGTGGGAAGAAGAAGTGGAGATGCGTCGTCTATCTTCATACGCAGTCATCTTTGCGGACATTGTTGTGTGTCTTTTTCTTTTGTCTGTTATCCCTGTGCATAAGTAAATCTGACAGCCATTAGGCATTTTGCTTTTATTTAACTGCTATCAGAGACAGATGGGAAATGTAGAAAAAGAGGGGTGTGACATGCAACAAAGTTTCCTGTTGCTGGGAATCAAACTGTGGTTGCTGCGGTCATGTTGTATAAACCCCAACCATAAGGCCACTGGCATGCTCCATTTGCATCTGTTGATGAGTTGGTCAGGTCTTAATGTCATTTTGCCTCAGCAGTTATCTGTGCATTGGTCTGTAGTATCTTTGCGTTTCTGTCCCTCAACTGCCTGTTCGCAGTTAAATCTGCTATATGTGTATTTGCTGCATTTCCTTCCATCTGCCTGCATATGTCAGGGAAAATTATCCACGCACCTAACCTTCACACTCATAATTTCCACCGTTCTATTCTAGTGTGAAAGGATTGCATGTCTCAGTCACGTGAGCTCCGCCTCCTGTTTTACACTTGGCAGAAAAAAAATATTTCATATTTATAACTGTGGTAAGAAAAGTGAGCACTCCAATAAATCTCCACATGAGACTGCTAACACATGAGAGAAGACAAAGAGTCTCAAATGAACCATATTCTAGATCAGTGACCAATATTTTCATGTCTTTATCAGCATCCAAATGCATCTTGGCAACACACCAAGGCACAGATCAAATAAATGTTTGCATGAGCACTAATGATTTTGTGTTCATTACAGTAAACAAATTTAATCTACTAACAAGGTGCACAGTCATTTTGTTAATTAATTGTGTGGTTGCAGAGTATAAAATGGAGAAGATTAAACCAATCAAATTTCATGTGCTAGAGGCTCTTTTGTACAAAGTGTTGAAATCTAGAAAGAATTGGTGCCAATTGAGACGGCTGCTTCCTGCTACAGGCTCTCCGTCTTCTAAAATAGGTGAACAGATACAGATTCGAGAGCAATTTCCCCTTCACCTCTGATACTGGGAAACATTCTTGCATTTTACATGAAATAAAAAAAGAGAGTGCGCACTGAAAATAGGATTTCAGATGAGGCTGAGGCTGAGAACTACAACTTGTTTTGGTATCTTGACACAGTCTTGTGTGTGTGGATTATTCAAATTCAGGTTTGTGATACACGAGCTGCAATCTTGCAACATGAGACAACTTCTTCTCCGATGTGTCTTAATCTCAAATTTCACAAAACAAAACAAACTTGCAATCAAATGTGGAACATGGCGCTGCCACCACTTGTTATCAGCGTTTGCACAGTACTGCCAAGTTGCTTTTGTGAAATTGGCCCCTGTATTACAACTGTGAAAATATCAAATTTGAAAAATCCATGAAGAACTTTGTTGCTTCAAAATCAACTTTTGTTTAGCAATGCATCGATTATATTGGACTATGGAGCTTACCTCCTTACAAATACATATAATGTACACAATAAATTAAACCCTCTCATAACACCTTTGCGAGTGTGACCAGCTGAATAATCTGCCGTCATCTGTCCCTATATCAAGTCTGATGTTGCTCTATATGTCACCTATATTATTATCACATATATACATCCTCTAGTTATATGAAGATATAAGTTTATAACATATATGAAATACTCTATATATGAACATACAGTATACCAAAAATATCTATGTGATGAATTGATCATGTATATACGTGTCAGTCTATACTCGGTGACAGTATATACATGGTATTTATGTATGCAAGTTTATCAAAACAACATACATATGAAAATTCTATATGCCCATATATGTTTTGTATAACATTTCTATTTTCCCATTTTGGGAAAGTGGTCTCAGAGTTTTGGACCCTACTGTTTATAATATCAACATATATTGACAGGCTTTGGTATAATTTTTACATGTGTGCTGATACATGTACATATATATCATATATGTAAATAAAATATATGCATATACATACATACATATAGTCTACAGTCTACTCCATAAACTATTAACTATTTAATTTTCTCTATATTAATGTGACATGTCTAACATTGTTTAGAGCAAACAGAAACCCACTATAGAAGAAAAACATGTAAAACAGCTCTTCACAAGACAAAGAGCGTCTGTATAAATTTAATGTCCATGCCTCGTCATAACATAATTCATGTAAACATCTGTTATATTGCATTTTTATCTTCTGTTACTCACCGTCTCGTAGGTAATGATGAATTTTATCATGTGGCCCACAGGCATGTTCTGGGTAAGGAACGCTCTCTGGCTGGGCAAGGCTGGCTCGTAGTGGATTTTCGCTGGTGGGAAAAAAACAGTACACCATGAATCCCAATAACTGTGTGCTCTTCTTAGTTCCAGTAATCCCTGCCCTCCATCCCTGGTATCACCTGGTGTACTTTATATGTAATGTAGGACAAATGCTTCAGTGGAGACAGAGTAAAAAGAGGTAAATAAAAATAAGTGAGGAAGGATAGCACACTTGAGCTGATGCATCTATAGTGTTAAAGCTAGTGGGCTGACAGATAATTTGCAAAACAATACAATTTTGGTGAAAAAAATGTCATTATAAAGATTAAAAAAATATAAATGTTTTAAAATTAAAGTATCTTCACAAACACATCCTTTCATTGTTTCTTTTTTTAAATCTCGTATTAAGGCCTAACACTGTGATAAACCATGTTGTCCAGGCCAGACCACTTAGTACTTGTTTGCCGTCTCAGTCTGATTGCGCACTAAGAGATTACATCCATGGCAAAAACTGGAGAATCAAAGTGGATAGCTGGTTAGCAACAGGAAGAACTGAAAGAAAAGAGTCAAGAAACAGACGGTGAATCGACAAGTGATCCCCCTCCAAAAAGGAAAATTGAGCTTCTTATATGTTTCCCCTTATTTCAGTTCATTCCTGAATGACCATTACCACTCAAATAAAAAGTGCTCCAAAAAAAAATGAGCAAAACATTTTTCACCCACCAGATGATTTTGTAGGAGGCCTCTGATGCAGAAATTAAAGGGTTTTCGAATTTTTTACGTTTTAGTAAGTTTTTAGGAAAAGTGGGATTAGAATTTCTGTATTTGTACTCACATTGTCTGAACATATATACAGAAGAACTTAGGCTTCATTTGCAGGGTTGACTGCCTATTTAGCCCCATAATAGTATACATTATGAATGATAATAACACAACAGTCATATCTTTATGAATACTTATTTATTAATAAAAATGTAAGATAAGATTTACATTACAAATCTACATGTTGTATTTATGAAACTAAATTTTGTCAAAGTCCACAGAGTGTAGAGTCACAGTGTATAGACAATCTCTCCATGCTGGTGGCATTCTGAAATGGAAAAAATGGAAAATAATGAGAGACATATATAAGATACATATGAGTTTTATTTGTAGTAGATAACCTGAAAGACTAGGTAGACAGTATTGTGTGACTATGGGAAGGATTAGGATTAGATCTTGGATCCTCACTCTGAACACTTCCACCACTCTGCCTAGCCTTGTATACCCTCTATTATCATACTAAAGGAATGCATGCATCCATCCCCCAGAACATATGCCTGTTGCATTGTTCAGGCACAGGTGAGAATGGTCTGCAATGTGGGGGTGAACAAAGCAACAAGCATCCCCCAACCCATCCCAGAACATTCAGAACCTGTGTCCAGTCTCCACATGCAACAAGCAGCTATTGGGCAAACACGCAAAGCTAAAAAAAGCCCAGGATCAGTTAAAAGTTGTTGTTTTTTTTAACTGATTAGATGCAGATTGAGTTTTAAATGCTGCTGCAGATAGAGTTTCAAATACCAAAAACAATTACTTAATTTATAAAATTCTGGTGTAACTAGAAAAAAAATAACAGATAAAACACATATAGAACTTAGTTACAGTGAATCAATGCATATATTATATTTCTAATGGTATTTTTTTCCATATGTGAACAAGTGAGAAGTTCAATGTCTCCATGTAATGTGTCAGGCTAGCACAAAGACGCAGTGTTGTAAAACTGCAACATAGACACAACAAGCTCAAAATCAAATTTGATATATGATTTCCACAATAACTTAACATCTACATGTTGTAGACAATGTAATAAACACAAATAAAAATATTTCAGGTAATTAACTTACTTGAATTTTGACAAATCCAGTCCAGTGAAACAAGGAGATGAGTTCGGAGGAAAGTTTGCAGGTAGTGTGAGTTCATGGTCAGATGGCCGGACCTATAAACACCTATTCTATCCAATAGCATTGTGAGGATAAACAATAGGACCCAGTGACTATGAAAATTATGAAAACTATGAAAATCTTTTTTTAAGATGGTTAAATGTGGCATTGCAATATTGCAACAGTGGGCCTTACAGGGCTATAGAATGCATTATTTGTTACAGGGTCGGATGTGGACCGCCAATGTTTTTGAGGTTTTCAAGTTGGCCGTGAGTTGGAAAAGGTTGGGAACCACAGCTCTAAAGATCATTTTTTTTCTTGTCTTTTTTTTAATTGAATCACTGCATGCCATTACTGGCTTTGCAAAGAAAACTGACCTAATCCTTGTCTGGCTCTTGCTTTGCTCAAAAGGACTAATCTTGACGCTTACATCTGTAAAAGGTTCATCTCATTGATGTGAGAGCCGTCAAGTAACTTCATCAGTACCATTAGAGGTAGTGTATGTCATGCTGAGAAGCAGGACTGTTTTCTGTGCTTGCTCTGGCGAGTGAAGCAACATCTGGCCAAAAGCCAGGATTTTAACGAATGAACCAGCGGAAGATGTGAAACATCATTTAGAAACTGTCAAGAGCCTGTCAGCAAGCTCAAAATAATGCCCTTAATACTAAACAAAATTGATGAGCCCGATGCAGTAAAATTGAAAAACAGTGACATGATAAGTGGCTCCAAACTAATTTGACATGGTCACTTAGACATTCAAATGACAGCACTGTACACATGACATAAGACCTGTCAAGTAGTGTCATATCCATAATGCTGCTTGTTTTGACAACGCCAGCTAACTTAATGGCAGGAAATGCCTTCTACCTCATTATTTGTCAGGCAGATGTTAAACTGTCGATGGCTAAATGAGACGTATTCTGGCATCTTATTCTTTTGAATGCTTAATGTGCTCTACAGTGACAACACTGTCATCGTCTCTTACGTGCACAAATGTGCTGTGACACCTTAGGGGAACTTCACCACAACTCAGCGTCACAGTTAAATCAAGATGACGTGTATAAACAGGTTCAATGCGAAGGCAGTTTAACAAAGGATTAAGCACACAAATCTGCTGCAGTGTGCTCAGAAGGTGTGCTCAAAGGGCTCGTTGATGGATAGGGCTGGAGTACCGCTCGTGAACGCACATCAGCCATTTGCAGCAATCACATTATTATACTATTGTCCTACATTCTGTCTGGCATCCAGCAGTTTCCAGACTTTTACTTTTGAAGGCGCTTCTCTTTTGGCACCTTCTGAAAAGGTGGCCTAAATTACAAACCTTATCCACCACAGGGTAAATACTGAGGATTTCTTCCCTGTCAATATAACTGAAAGAGCAGCTCGGAGAAAGACACACTATCTTCAACTTCACAACTTTTCAGTGTTTGCTGTTGGGTTGGTATAACTTTAAACTGCACACACAAACATAAGAAGGAGGACACAAAAGGAGGCAAAGATTATTTTGTCTGAAGAGTATAGCAAAATTCAAGCTTTTTATTATTCTATTTACTCATGAGGTGAGTGGGAGTGCAGCATATTCCCATTTTGGGCCATGTTTGTCTGTCAGTCAGTCTTTCCACCACTCCAGATCCAGATTGAGATACCTCAATAACTACTGGATGGATTACTATGATATTTGGTACAGATATCTATGGTGCCCATAGGATGAATCCTAAGGACTTTTACGATCCTCTGACTTTTCCTCTAGCACAATTAAGTGACTGATGCGTATGTTTTTTGTGAAGTGTCTCAAACATTCTGGCTGCAGGTCGTCCACTAATCAGAAGGTTGGTGGTTCAGTTCCTGGCTCCTCCAGTTTGTATTGCAAAGTATCTTTGGGCAAGATACTGAACCCCAAAACTGTATGTATGTATCATCAGTATCATCATGTGTGTGTTTGTGGTGGGTGTGTGTGTGTGTATAGTAGAAGTACACTATAGTGTATAGTATAAACTCAAGTGTTGAAAATCAGTTCAAGTTTTTTGGGGGCATTTTTAACTTAATTGTGATAGTCAGCATGAGAGAGAGAGGCAGAAAGGTCAGGGAGAGAGAGAGGGTATGACATGCAGCAAAGGGCCGCAGGTTGGACTCGAACCCACAGGTCGGACTCTTATTATTGTGAACAGTAAGAAAATAAAGTATAAGTCTAAGTGCATAGTGAATACAGTCAATTTTTGAAATGATGAAATCAGGAATCCGGAAAAGCATTCTCTTTGTGAAATCTAATCAGTAGTCAGATACCTATTGTATCATTTCCTGTTAATAAAATGGTGACATAGGTTGATATATTTATGCTAATAGTTTAAACAGCATTGTATAATGCTGTATAGAATTAGCATTAAGTATGGATTCGGGACACAGTATATATTTGCTTAATGTCTGCATGTTAGCAATTTCATTGTGGTCATGTTAACATGCAGACGTTAGCATTTAGCTCAAAGCACCATTAAGATACAGCCTCATAGAGCTGCTAGCATTGGTCTTGTTAAAGCATAATGCCAAAATGACGTTGGTAGATGTTATAGTAAAAGCACAATCCTTAAGTGTAAAGTGACATGCAATATACACTTTGGCATACTTAGTTTTTTTATCAACTACTAATGTTAAAAAATGATGACATTACACTACATTACTTTAACATTTAAGAATATTTCTTTTTTCTTTTCATCTTTTCCTCAGTTACTTGTCTGTATTCTCTACTGGTTTCAGTACCATGTGTACAAAGAAAGACTCCACGTGTCCTTTAATCAGCTTTAGAACCTGCTCTCACTCCCAGATTGAGTGACTTGGTGGACAGCAACTGAATTTAAGTTATTATTTTCTAATGATACATCGGTTATAAAAACCACAGTGCATATATTTCCATCTCTAAGTGTAACTCAATTATTCATGAATATCTACCTATAAAATATATGGTCCCATTTAGACCTTTCCAAAATGCAGCACTAGACAAATTGACCTAGTTTCAACCTCCTTAACTCCTTAATTTACATGTTATTATATTAAAAACGTAGTCAGTTTTATTAATTTATAAGAGCAATCTCTGTGATGTCAATCAGTATCCTGAACCATTTGAGTCAAACTGT